CCTTCCTTCCTTCCTTCCTTCCTTCCTTCCTTCCTTCCTTCCTTCCTTCCTTCCTTCCTTCCTATAATATATGCTTGTGCCATTTGCCCTCCCCTCACAACCCTCAGGAGAACCCTGGTGACACCTCCTCCTCCTTAGCTGACCTGTGGAACTGCCTGCCACTTTGCTGAGGGGAGGTGGAGCAAAGGGAGCTGCGGACCATGAGGAAAACTGCACCCCCGCTCCCCATTCTAGCACGTCCCCAAGGGCCCCTCCCTCAAGGGAGGAAGAGGGCTTAACTGTCGACACCAGCACCCCCCAGCCAACCGTACCTCGCCAGCAGACATCCTTATCCTTCCCTCAGTGTCCACAGCCATTAAGAGATTTCACATTTCTGCCTCATTTCCAAAGCAGCCAGTCACCACTCAATTGTCGGGCCTTGCCACCAGCCGACTAAGCACAGGGGACAGAGAGAGGTGGGAAAATCGTGATGTGGGCTGACCATGGTGGCACAGCAGCACAGCAGTGCTGAAGCTGCCACAAATGTCCCAAATTTCAATCCCATGGTATTAATGGGTCCCAGATTTTTGACACATTCTGTAAGTTAGCCCATTTGAGGTACCTCGGTTCAAAAACCGTTGCCCTATGACGCACCGTTTCGCCCAGTTGAAGGTTACAGGCACAAGTACATAGATATGTAGCTCATGGTTGAACTGTTGGGTTCTTGGTGTTCTCTGAGTTTGGCTGTTTAATTACCAAGCTTGGTAACATCATCAGTGCATGGGAGAGTGGAGTTTGCTGGCTGTTTATATATAGTAGCTGGTTCTGCTAGTCTGTCATTGGGGTTTGGTGTCTTCCTTGATGGTTCCTTTATAAGGACATTGTTTCTTCCTTGATTGTGAATCTTGTGCTGTTTCTTGCTTATTGTGGGATTGGCTGCAAAGGAGGGTTGCTCTGGGCTTGTTTCTTTCCTTCCTTTTTGATTGTATACCCAGTGGTTAAGATATTATAATAGAATCTTGAAAGTTTGTCAAAGGCCTTCTCTATTTCAATTAATACCTAATCCAGTCAAGATGGAATTGTTTTGAGTTTTTCTCACATCTGGCCTGAAATACCTCTTTTATAAGAGCTCCATGCTCTCCTGCCATTCTTTTAAAGATTTCCCTGTTCCTAGTGTAATAACAAACTGGATTTTTAAAAGAATACACATATTAGTAACTACCCAGACAGAGGGGCTGGAATATTACATTTTTACCCAAGAAATAAAAACTGATGAAATCCACTTTTCTTCATACCTTGTTGCAAAAAGTTATTTTGTAGCAACAAAAGCTTTCTTTGCATCTTACAAAACTACTTTTGTCTTGATATTATCATAATATAATGTTATAGTATTAATGTTATCAGAGACGTATGATCCTTTCAGAAGAACAATATGCAGGATGAATTATTAATGGTACTCCTTTTATAATTGTGCAGTATAGCAATCAAAGTCTCAGCACCTACATCTAGGATATTGTATGACAGCTCATACAGCTCATAGGCTTCTGTACTGTTTTCATAACAAACCCCACAATATTACGAGGATAGGTCTCTTTTTCAAAGATCATTATGTATATCAAATAATATAGGAGGTAGGCTTTTCCTATATTTTTTGTACTATTCAGTAGGGTTCCCTTCTCAGTTTTCATTGTTTAAATCATTTCAAAATCTTCCACAAAGTTAGAGATGCATCCAAAAGTCTTTTAGGAACAGCATATATATCCTAATAAATAAATAAATAGGTCTCTTGAGTAAGAATAGAAAATCTTTGGAATATTTATTCAACTTAAAAAGTTTTCCACCTTGTTCAATGGGCATTTGTGTATTCATAAAATATAAGTATGAATAGAACTCCCTAAACTGAGAATCGCTTTACAATCTTTATGAATTGTCTCTATAGAATCCCTTATTATAAGTATTTTTATGTGGTGTTTCAGTTCACAGGGAAGCAGTTTCCCAGATTTTTCCCTCTATTCTCAGTGTATCTGCTTAGTATACTTAAATATTTCATATTCAGAGTATACAGTTGCTCACCTTCCAATTTAAAAGATTTATAAACATTTGTAAAACAGCTCCAGAAGACAGTTTGCAGCATAAAACATTCAGACTTTCTTTACAACTTCCTACAATGAGGTTCTTCCTTTTTTTCCCCCCCTCCACACGGCATAGGTTATTGCCTTCCCTCATACAAATGCTTTGAGTGTATCCCAGATGATCCTCACATTTGCTGATTCTCTGTTTGAAAAATTACATTGGTATTATTTTGTTGCTGATTAACTGAGGCTCATCTGAGCAATGACGTATTAAAATATAATCTCCAGCTAATTTGCATTTTCTTAGTAAAAATCAACAACCTAAAAAAAAAATCAATGAGTACAATCAGAAATAGTAATTGAACCAATATAACATTTTTCAACTAGATTATAGATTGAGATATTAAAAACAGGTATAATATAAAGTTGATAAATATGTTCCTGTTTAATTAAATTTAGTTGTTTTGCTATATTAAATTCCTAGGAAAAAATGCATAGAGGGTACTCCAACTGTGAGAATTATTTTGGAAA